TTCCTGTGTCCGATCTATATTCTGTTAAAACACAATGAGGGTGAAGATTCACCAAACAAACTCTATACTTTGGTTACCTATGTACCTGTTACCACTTTCAAAAATTCACAGACAGGCTGGACGCAGTGGCTCACACCTGTAATCCCAACACTCTGGGAGGTTGAGGCAGGAGGATGGCTTGAGCTCAGGAGTTTGAGAACAGCCTGAGCAAGAGCAAGATCCCATCTATACTAAAAACAGAAAAATTAGCTGGGCATAGTGGGGAGCACTTGTAGTCCCAGCTACTTGGAAGGCTGAGGCAAGAGGATCACTTGAGCCCAAGAGTTTGAGGTTTCAGTGAGCTACAATGATGCAATTGCACTCTACCCAGGGCCACAGTGAGAGACTCTTGTCTCAAAAACAAACAAACAAACAAAAAACTACAGTTAATGTGAATGAGAACTAACTGCAAAGCATCAGATAAAGTTATAGAACCATAAAAAAGGGGGGAGGGGAATGATCATTCTTGAATGAATGAGCAAACCTATACAAATCACTCTACAGCTTCCTTAGGAGGAGCTAACTGAAACTGGCAAAGCTTTGTAGAAAGCTGCAATAGAGTTGGGTTTGTCTTTCTGACCTACACTCTAGGTTGAAATAGCCCCACAAAGGGCATTTGTAAACTATCCAATGATTTAAGATATCTTGTCCCACTTTTCTTTTCTTTTTTTTAACATTTTAGCACAGAAAATTTCAGACGAATACAAGAGAAGAGAAGAGAAAGCCTCCGTACATCCACCATACAGCTTCAACAAATTCAACTGATGGCTAATTTTGCATCAATTTTACTCCATTCATTACTGCTCCTCCACCAAGGATTATGTGAAAGCAAACAAAATGCATGGTGGCATTTTATCCCTAAATATACAGTGTGTATCTCTAAAAGATAATGACTTTCACTTTAAATAATCACCTCCATGCCATTATCAGGGTACTCTGACCTTTGAAATAGAGCCTCAAAGCAGCTGAGCTCCTTGTAGAGATGCCTACAGAAGCCTTGTGGGGTGGGGGTCCAGCCACAGAATCATGTTTAAGTGTAAAAATCAAAGGAGGAAATGACACAGATCAATAATGGTCCTTTGTTGGCCAACTGTGGTTTTCATGAAGAAGCAGAGAAAAAGATGAGAAACAGATTTCCGAGTTACTAGGATTGGTTATTTTGCAACACTAGGGATCAGTAAAAAAAGAATTATTTACCATAATGAGGGAGACTCCTATTGGTCATTCCACACTGACTCAGGTATGTGACCTGGGGTCATTTCTTACCTATCTAGTCTGGGGATTTCTCACCTGCAAAAAGTGTACACCTATTGGGCAGAAACCACAGAAACCTGAGTCCCTTTCTTTCCATGTCATGTGAAATAAATTCTTCTTTACATTCTTTTTGGAAAAAGGTAATGCAGTAGCTATATAAACATTATATATTTTTTAAAACATGTAAACATCATAACTAACAAATCTTCTTTATTTTTGCTTGCAACTTCCCACGTGCATGGTTCAAAATAGTTGCACTTACAGTGTACGTGCATTTTGTACAGAAATATTTAACGCAAATAAATCCACCCATTTAAACAACAACAACAAAAATGATATGCCTGTCAGCCCTCTGTCACTACATTCACTTCGTGGGACAGGGAAATCTTGCTTCACACCCTTCTGCTCCCTGCCTCCTCATGTCCCAGGAGCCTGCCCTCAGGGGTACTGGCTTCTTAAGAGAGGCATAAACTCTGAAGACAGACTGGTTTAAAATCTGAGCTCCACTACTTCCTGGCTCTGTGACCTTGAGCAAGAGGCTTAACCTCTCCATGCTCTAGTTTCTCATCTAAATGCTAATTCATAGTACTTACTCACTGGGTTGTTGTAGGATGAAAATATATTACTATGAAGCAGTAGAACATCCAGACATGAGCTGAAAAGAAATGAGCTACCAAGCCATGAATAAAATATGAAGGAAACTTAAGTGCATGTTACTAAGTGAAAGAAGCCAATCCAAAAAGGCTATAGACTATATGATTCCAACCACATGACATTCTGGAAAAGACCAAACATTAGAGACAGTAAAAAGATCAGGGGTTGCCAGGGGTTGGGGGAGGGAGGGATGAATAGATAGAACACAGAGGATTTTTAGGATACTCTATAGGATACTACAATAGTGGATACAAGTCATTACGCATTTGTCCAAACCCACAGAATGTACAACGCTGAGAGTGAACCCCAATGTAAACTACAAATTTGGGGTGATAATGAAGTATTGATGTAGGTTCATTGATTTTACAAATGGACCACTATGGGGGGATGTTGATAATGGAGGAGGCTGTATAGACCTGTGTGGGGGCAGCTGTAGATGGGAACTTTCTCTACCTTCTGCTCAATTTTGCTGTAAACCCAAAACTGCCTAATAAAAAATAAAATCCATTAAAAATAATAATAATAATATGAAGCAGTTAGAACACTGCCAGGTATATAGGAAGTACCATGTAGTGCTTGTTCTTCTTATTATTATTAGCTTAATATTAATACATATATCATTTCTACCAATCCAACCAAGTCCCTGAATTAGCTGCCAAACAAGGATAACCCCTGACACATGCATGGCAATATGCATGTATTTCTCAAAGCACTTTCATGCACAGTATCTGGCACAATCTGGCCATAATCTATGAGGCATCAGCCCTGGGGCATTCAGAAACAGAACAAGAGAAAGGCAAAGATTTAGCTGCAATTAGCCCTGCTAGGATGGGGAGAAATTAGAACCAAAGGTCTAGTGATAGGAGATTGGTTATATAATATATAGTACATCTATCTGTTGCTGTCATCATAATTGAGGCAAAAGAACATTTAATGATCTAAAAATTATTCATGCTGAGTCCTGTGAAAAAGGAAAGTTGCAAGAAAGTAAATGAAGTATGCATCTACTGTGCTTTTTCTTTCTTTTGGTATATTATGCTTGTTAAAAAAACCCAGCAAGATACGCATCAAAATGTTAATGTTTGTTATTTATTAATGGAGCAATATGAAGTCATTTTTCTTTACTTCTTTGTGTTTGAATTTTCTTGATGTTACATAATGGACATGTATTACTTTTAAAATAGGGAAAGGTTATTGTTGAAAAATAGGATACACAATTGTATATGCAGTGTGACTCATTTACATAAAAAATATGAAAACAGCAAAATGTTAATGGGAGAAATGTGAATAATTTTTTTCTTTGTATTTTTCGGGTGTTTCCAGATTTTCTACTCTGAGAGCTATAAGTTGTTTTTATGAAGATGGTTCTGATGTGGAAACTGAGACCACAGTAGGTAAGCAGGAAGGCTCTCTGGCTGCACACACACACCTCTGCCTACCCTGCCTTGAAAGAACCAGGACATCATCCCCAGAGACACCCCACCTTTGGGTTCCTCTCTGATGTGACTTAAGGCTTGGGGCTGTGACTCACACATAACAACATAATCTGCCTCTGCAGACTGTGGTACAGCAACCATCTCCCGGCTCCAGAGGCCAGCTGTTAGGGAGGAGACCTGGAGGCAGATGTGTCCATAAGTGATAGCAGCCCACCCAGTCCACATCTCTTGGACCTCCCTGATCTACTTCCCTGGCAAGGGTGTCTGGAACAAAATAAAACAGAAACAAAAACAGAAACAAGGGAAAAAAAGGAAAAAGGGAAAATAAAAGTATTTTCTAGGTAAGACAGTTGGATTTGATTGGTAACCCAGGAGAAGGGCACAGGGAGGTCAGATGGTCCAATGTACAAAGCCATGGCTTAGAAGTCATGGGTCAAGGGTCCCTGTTTCATCCATGGCCCATGACTATATGACCCAAGGCGTGACACCTTCCTAGGGCAGTGCCCCTCTGTGAAAGGCAAATGTGACAAAAAGGGTAAGAAGGGTTCCTTGCTCCTGGGAGGGGAGCTACCAGCACCTCTGCCCAATGACCACAGGAAGGAGTGGTTGGTTAGGCCTTCCTCCCCATTTGGATCCGATGGCAGGGCAGACTGCTGCCATCGCCAGACTCACTGCATCCAGATCTGCAGGTGAAGAAATAGTCCCCAGCCCAGCAATGTCATACAGCAAGGCTCCAGGCTGGGTCAGCTGTCCCTGTCCTCTCCCCTGTGCATGGGAACAGACCAGGCCTAGACTTGGATACAGTTGGCTCTGAGTGGCTCAGTCACCCATAACTGGCCCTTCCACAGGCCCATACCACCAGGGGGACATTCATAGACCTTGGAGTAAAAGGAACTTTGAGGCTCTCTTTTTCCCTAGGTGAGATATAACCAAAGAAAGTATCAGTGGCTTATTGCAATTAAAATTTCATATATAGCCCTGGAAGCTCTAAAAATGTCCCCAGTCCATTTGAAGGTAATTACCTGTCTTTGGACAAAAGTAGTCTCTAGCAGTGATTTCAAGGCAAGAATACGGAATGAGAGCAATACTGAAAATTTCGATAGTAGGAAAGAATAATTCGCCCTTATTCACTATCTTCTGAAGTTTTCCTTTGTAGGTTGCTATTAAAATCCCACCAAGCCCTTCCACTGGCATCCATTGGGCTTTGTGGGTTGATTCAGGTTTAGGATGCACCCCTCTGGGCCTAGCTCTGGAGAAGGAAACGACAGAAAAATAAGACATGGTCTTGTTCCCAAATCCAGAGGGGGTGACAGAACAAGTCAGGAAACAGATTCTGAACTCAATTACGTGACACAGTCCATGAGTACATTTATTTTAAATTATATTTAACACCAACATTTACATTTAATACCATTTAAAGTACATTTAACACCAACCCCAAACAAAACATATAAACTGAGTCCTAAAATGCACCCCGAGTCTGTTCTTACCAGCTGGGCTGATAATAAATGTGTTGTAGGAGTGGCCCTTTGCCGAAGAATGCAAGACCTATAGGGTGACCACTTCGTACCAAGCCTGGGCACTCTGGAAGTGCATTAATATTGACCTATAAATGACAGCACAAAGGCCTTTTAAAAATGTATCTGGCAGTGTCTGTATGTGTCCTACTCAGAGGATAATAAAGAGGAGAGAAGATATTTACTTGGACTCAAAATTAACTTCAGTGGCATCCATGTGGCTTCTGGCAGGGCCCAATAGCAGCCTCAGATTGACCCGAGGATCTGCCCCTCATTTGGGGAGTGTATTATCTTAAATACCTTAAGGTTTCTTTCACTCTTTTAAATGTCCAGTTCAAGCCTCACTGTTTCTACTTCCACATTACTGATGTCTTTAATAGCTCCTCTAATTCAAGTCAGTGTTATTAAATGAAAACTCATTAATGATTTATATTCTATATTTCACGTTTATGTTTCCATTCTGTATATGTCGTCATTCCAGAGGGTATGGCAGCCCACGCTTCTTTAAGTCCCACCACGGAGCCTCAACAAAGCTTGACAACCCTGTCACCAGAAAAATAATGGTGAACAGCATTCTTACCATCCAGGGATTGGACTCTGTTGCTTAACCCACTATTATTAATTATTAATAAGTGAACTCCAATGAACAGTTTTATAGCTGCTTTGGAAAGCAGGTGGATCAATACCTAATGATAGCCATGACTTCTACCTTAGCCTGTGCCAATTAGATTTTTGGCATATGTTTATCAGCAAAAGGATTGCAATTAAAACAATTATTACAAATAATAACTTGTATAGTCAGTGGTCATTTCAATAAGATAATGTGTAATGAACATCATCTTTGTGAACAAAAATTACACAAAAAGCACAAATACATCCAAGAAATGTTTCAGGTCTGAAACCCACATGCTAGTTCTTTCTAGGAAAAGAATAATAAGCAAAACATAAATTTTCTTCCTATTTACATACCCCATCATAAAGCTAATAGTTGATATGTTTGCCTTATTACAAAATTTAGAAGTATAAGCTATATCATATATATGAAGTTGATAAATTATATTATGTGCCAAAAAGATATATATTTCTATGTAGACATCTCCATCCAAGATAGAAATATATTACCAAGCAAATAATTCTTCATCAGAAGGGAAGTGAACACAATGGCAATACCAATTAATTTACAAACTCTTTCCACCTTGCTAAAAATATTAGTCTTTGTTGTATTGACTAAATATATTATACTCCCTTCATAATATGTTGAGTATTAGAAGTCTGATATACAGATTTTCAAATGTACTTTCAAATACTATACATGAACAAAAGTTCCATATCTCCAATACAAATTAGGCTTGGGAAGTTTTTCAAATCAAAATTAGGTCTAGCATAGTTTTGACTTTAATGAGTAACTTAAAATGATTTTTAATTCAGATATCCAAGAGCCAGCCTGAGCAATTATGGCCTCTGTTTACAGTGCATTGCTGGAGATTATTTACACATAAAAGGGTACCTTTAAATGCTTTAAATAGTTTATTCTCTTAAGTAGGTAAACAGTACTTATATTAGTTTCCTATGGCTGCACTAACAAATTACCACAAATTGGTGGCTTAAAACAACACTGATTGTCTGACTGGAATTGAAGTCAGTTTCACTGGGCTAAAGTCAAGGTGTCGGGTCAGGTGATTGCTTCTGAAGGGTCTGGGGACAGTGAATTCCTTGCCTGCCTCACCTCTCCTATTTCCTCCTTCATCTTCTTCTTATAAGGACCCTCGTGATTACCTTTAGGGCCCACACAGATCATCCAGGATAACCCCTCTATCTCAAGATGTTTTAATTCAATCATATCCATGGGTCTCTATTATCATATAAAGTAACATTCACAGGTTCCAGGGATTCAGATGAGCACATCTTTGGGAGCCTACCCCAACACTCATCTGGTCTTATTTACCCTGTGCATTGACAAGGGCCTTCTTTTAGAGATAGCACAAAGGTAAACTTCAGACTGGAGGTCCCAGGGTTGAAGAAAGTGCTGGATGGACAACAAGGAGGTGTGAGTTCAAGCCCTGCTCTGCCACCACTTTAGCAGGGTGTAGTGGTTAAGAGCAGATGGACCTGTCCTGAAATCCTAGTTCTGACATATTAACTGAGCAACCTTAGGAAAGTTGCTTAACTCATCTAGGGAGCAATAGCACCTCCCAGGGTTACTGTATGGAAAGTGTCTGGCAGCATAAGTGGTCACCTCCCACCCATGCACCCCTCCATACTCTGTTTTCCCTTCCTGCCCACCTCCTAGGGATGAAATGATGCTTGTGACCTTTTCCACCTTTCTAGGAAAGATGTGCTAAAGCCCTGGGAAACCAGTCCCTTGCTGCTGCCCCTGAGATTGCAGATCGCTGCAGGACTGCAGTAAGACCGGGGAGAAGGCCGGGCGGAGTAGGGGAAAGGACACAACACAGACCTCAGGCTCATACACCTGTAGTTAGTTCGTGAGCCCCACCCCACCACCCAGGTGAAATGTGTGGGGCTCCTCTCCTTGTTTCCACAGGCATCCTCCGGCAGTGGGTACCCTTTCAGACAACTCCAAGGCGGTACTCAGTGTTCATGTTGACCTGGCTTCACTTGTGTACCTCTACATGCGACTTCCCTGGGCCACATACCCCTCCTAGAAACTGATGCTCTCTGGCAATGGCCTCTCCAGCACGCCCAGCCAGTGCCTCCCCAGCACAAGGCACACCAAGGTTCAGCTGAGCCACGGAGATAAGAAGGGCCATGTGAACAGCTGGGAAGGCAGGCTTCAAGCCAAAGGGAATTGAGAAGCTATGGGGGGCAGAATTTGCCTCTCACCCCTGGAAAAAAATAATGGCAGGGAGATAGATTGGTTGCAAGGTACTTTTAGAAAATCTCTTCCCAGGGGTCAACAATGGAGACACTAAACCCTAAGTTAGCTTGGAAAGTTTCTGGCCGAGTGGCCCTGGCTGCCAGGTAAGGTTTGGCAGGTGGTTTTTCCAACTTCTGAAGCAGGCCCTCTCCCAGGTGTCAATGCTGTGAAATATTCCTGCTTTTCCCTGATAATGAAGCAGTGAGGTAACAATCAAACCAGAGGGATTTGCCTTTTTTTTTTCTTTTTTTTTTTGAGACAGAATCTTGCTGTGTTGCCCTGGGTAGCATGCAGTGGCGTCACCAAAGCTCACAGCAACCTCAAACTCCTGGGCTCAAGCAATGCTCCGGCCTCAGCCTCGAGAGTAGCTGAGACTACTGGTGTGTGCCATGACACCCACCTAATTTTTCTATTTTTAGTAGAGATGGGGTCTAGCTTATGCTCAGGCTGGTCTCAAACTCCTGACTTCAAGCTACCTTCCTGTGCCACCCAATCACTCCGAGGGCCTGCATGCTTTAGCCTTCAGGGTTCCCTGAATGGGCAAGCAAAGAAAGATAATGACTCTCCTGGCTTCCTGTGGCTGCTGCTGTTGGTGTGCGGAGGGTAGAAGAAGGGTGTGCAGAGGTGACAGCGGGAGAGAGAGTACAGGACAGGAGGAGGGGGAAGGCGCCAGAGAAGGAGGAAAGGGGGCGCTCATTCAGTCTTTCACTCGGAAATGCTGTCTGGGAGTTGACTCTGTGGGTACTGCGGTGGATACAGGAGACAGAAGATGGGGGAGAGGAAGGAAAAGGGGGAGGAGGAGGAGGACACATGAGAAGGTGAAGGAGGTAAAGAGAGCTGGATAGGATGTTTGGTAGAATTTTCAGTGCACTAGGTTCCCAGGCAGGTGGGAAGGCAGGTGAGACTTCCCCAGGGAAATCTCATCTGAGGCTGTATGGGAAACCTCTGGAGTCAGGTGGTGTTCACCTTCCAGGCTTTCCTTAACCCAAAGTGTTCATGAAAGTAATTTAAGTAGCGCTTGCTTGAAAAGCAAAGCCGCCCACTCCAATTCCTGACACTTAGTAGGTGCTCAGTAAATGGCAGCAGATGGTGAGGGCGGCTGCCGGGCATTGCTTCCGTGAAGGAAGCTGGATCCAAGTCTGACCAAGCTTTGTAGGGTCTCGAAGCCCAACTCTGAGCCCTGGCCCCAGGGGAGTGGAGTTGCTGGCTGGTTTCCCCTGCTCTTTGGCTCCCCAAGCGGCTGGCCTGGGATTACCTGAGAACAGGGAATGCTGCCAACCCTCAGCAGGGTCCACTGGCCTGTGGACTTTGCACATGGGACTTTGCAACGAGGTGGCAGATAATAAAATCCATTTCACCAATTTAATGCCAAAATGTCCTTCTCTGAGAAATGTGCAGGGAATGCTCTAGACCTTGCTTCTCCCATTCTCAGAATAGGAGTTTAGGGGCCTTCACTTTTGCCGGCTGACCTTGACTGAGTATATCCTATCTACCAAGCGATGTTCTAGGTACTAGGACTGTGGCAATAAATACAGTGCATTTCCCACCCATAAGGAAAATATACTCATATCTGTTCTACAGAAGAAGAAACCAAAACTTTAAGATTTTAATGTCATTAAAACATTGATTTGTCTTTCCTTTTATTCATTTATTCAGAAAATGTTTTGAATCCACAGGACGGGCCAGGCACTGTGCCACTGTAGGAGGTGCTATAGGCTGGTACAGGGAAAGTCAGGCACAATCTTCCCCACCACGGGACACCTACACAGACAACAACAAGTCTATAGAACACTCTGATAGTTTGTATTTTATACACTGGACCTTGTGACTTTTATCTACATAGCTTCAGTTTCACCATGTAAATGCCATTCAGTGGGTAATGGGAAGCTATGGTTCATGTGTGTGTACGTATTGTATGTATGGTATGTATGTATAGTATGTATAGGTGTACATGCACACATGGTACTGAAACTGCTGCCCCAGATCTCGGGGGATGGAGGGGAAGGGTGGCTGGGGAATGATGTAGGAAAGCCATGGCCAGTTTACATAATGGGCTGGGAGCTGCGGGAGGAGGAGAAAGCACTACAGCCTAGAACGTGGGCTGAGCACTCAACCTACATTAAGATCATGGTTAAGTTCAAGGACTTGGGGTTAGTCAGTTGGATGTACCATTAACTAGCTATGTGATCTTGAGGAAAATCACTTGATCTCTAAATCTCTCTCAGCTTCCTCCTCCATAGAATGAGGATAACCGTAGAGATCTTGTAAGGTGTGTACTGACCTCCTGTTGTGAAGATTCATGGAAATGCTCTCTGTAATGTGACTAGCCTGTCACAGGAACTTCATAAGCCATTATCATCCATCATCATCATCACTGTCAGAAGAAGTGCTCCTGACAAAAACACCCATGGGGGAGGAGTGGGAACAGGTAATAATAAATGTAACAAGGGCTTTTCATATTCAGGGCAGGCTGGGAGAGAACATGCTGATAGAAAAGCCCCTCCCTGTTTCTCTGGAGAATTCCAGCACCCCTGTGAGAGACCTGCATGCTGAGCTGCATCTGGCTGGAAGGGAGTGTGTTCTCTGCGACAAGGTGACAAGGCAGGTGGCAGCCCCTGCTCTGGGGGTGGGGCCCTGAGGCCCTTGAATAAGGACAGCAGTTTATCAG